TTACAAAAATGATCAAAATTTTGAATATCTTCTCTAGTGTTTGGTTGTCAAAAGTTGATTCGAATTTTTTGTTTAAATTTTCATATTTTGGAACATTGTTGAAGTGTTGTATAAGTTTAATTTTTTATACTTTGTTTATTGTTCAGTCACATATGCGTAGTGTGTTATAACAACGACGCTATAATGGAGGCTATTATTACCGAGGATGGAAATTACAACTCGAGCGAGCGAAAAAATTTCAAACTTCTTATGTAATTTTACATTGCACTCTTGATTTGACTTACGCATAATAGGTATTAAAAAATGTGTAAAACTTATAAAACTTTCGTTTTATAATTGTGATTAAATTCTTTGGTTTTCTGTAGCGGTTTAACTTGAAATTTCATCTTTTTTAAGTTTTCGAAAATTCGTTTGTGCAATCACTAACATTTTGAAAATTGTACTGGTCTGAAAATATTTAATTACCTGTTTTTAAAGGGTTTGATGGTTTCGTTATGGTTTTACAAATGTACTTGTACATAATTCGTTCTTCAGTATTTTTATTTTGAATGTTAAAAATTTCAAAATTTGTGTGTTAAATTCCGCCCTCGCTTTTCTTAGAGGGTAAATCATTGCCAAAATCGGTCTTATTTTAGCAAATACTAGCCCCGCCCACCCACCCTCTCTTTTCTTTGAGGATATGTAATTTGCCAAAATCAGTTTTATCTTAGCAGGAACTAGCCCCGCCCACCCGCCCTTTTTTTGTTAGAGGGTATTTCATTTGCCAAAATTAGACTTATCTTAATAGCTATTAGCCCCGCCCACCCACCTTCCGTTTTCTTAGAAGGTATGTCATTTGCCAAAATAAGTTTTGTCGTAGTAAGTACTGATTTCAAAAAACTATCAAAATTTTGAACATCTTGTCTAGTGTTTCGTTGGTTATGCCTTAATGGATTTTTCGTTCGTTGGTTTTGTTTTTGTTTATAATTTATAAATGTCTTATTACATGTTTTTTTGATTTATTTATTAATGAAAAATGCAGCTTGTTTTATTAATAATAATGCACAACGATTAATGACTCCTGGTTTTTATGGTTATAGTCCTAAAAAAAAAATATACAAGGTGGATTTCAGTCACCATCGTTACTAAGAAATCAGGAAATAAGTCGGAGGTATTCACGGCCGAGATAACGTACTGAAGAGTTACTCGGCCATATTCCGGACACCCGGTATATTAACGCTAAAAAAGTATTGAAAATATTTAATTAATACAATTGGTTAATTTCATTTTTTTAACGTTTCATAACTCATGGAATATGAAAAAGTAGGTCTCCCAATTCTGCTTTTTTTTTATATAGGAACTGCTAATTAAAATGTATATTAGAGAAAAATGCAAGCAGTAAAACTCTAATTAAAATTAGGCTAATCATCCCCACAAACAATTTCAATTTTTTTGTAAACACCATTTAAATTTTATAAAATAGCATACTCCTATATTTGTGGTTTATGAATCCGGCTTGATTTTTTTATCCTAAGCATCCACAATTGCGCAAAAAAATCCAAAAAATACAAGTATATAGGAACACCTTTGTATGGAGTACTTTTTCGAAAATTTGAGAATACAATAATGTTGCGCCCACCTATATTTAATAATAATATTTAGAACGTGTTGCCCCATTGTGACCTAATTAATAATTTTCGTCGCCTGTTCTTCACTTTTTTATTATTTATTTCATTAATTACATTCAAAATTTTTCATTCTATTTTCCTCAAATGATACAATTTCAAGACATCATTACAATATTATAACCACAAAATCTCACTTGAAGCAGACACATGTTTCTTAAACTGGTGTGCGTCGGGTGCTGGGGAAGTTCTATTTAAATAACTTTAAACCATTCTTTTTTATTTAAGATAATTAATAATGAAGTTTTGTATAATTTGTCTTTCATATTTTATTTTTAACGGCTACTTTCATTTTTCTCGACGTTTCATGCCCCCTAGAATCTGAGAAATGGGTTCCCTGTTTCCGTATGCCTGCCGTTCTTCCGTTATCCGTGTTTTGTCTGTGTGTCGTGCGTCTGTTGTCTGTCTGTCTGTCTGTGATCTGAGTCCATTTTTAATAAAACAGATATACTATACAATGAGATTAACTGATAATCTTCAAAACTACCCAATGGATTGTAGTCAAATTTCCTATGTACGTTAGGAATGTTGTGTTATTGTGTAGAGGGTAAAACGTTAACCAAAATTAACCAAAATTTGTGTAATCATTCCCACCAACAATTTGATGACGTCATCTCAAAATTTTGGATGATTAATACTGTTTATTTTATAATAGCCCTTTGTATTAATATAAGCGGGCTTTTTTTTCTTATATTCTTACTGGTGTTATCTATATTTTCTTAAAAAAATAAAATTTCGCAAAATCAAATTTTATAATAATTTTTCGAATAACCCTTATTTGTTGGACTATACTTGAGGGACGAGGGGGGGTTTCTGTCTAAAAAATCTTGGATCAATTTTTACTACGCGAGCGTAAGATAAGGAAGTGTGGTAATCGAGTCCATCGGGCGACTTGGTAGTTTCATGTTTTTTTGACGTTTCTGACTGGCCAACTACTGGACCGAATTTTGTCAAATTTTGTACGTATATTAGCAATATCATGTAAGTGGTTACCCAGTAACCAAAATTTGGCTAATCTTCCACACGAACAATTTGATGACGTCATCTCAAAGAATTCTATTCTGAAATGAACATTATACAGCAGTATACTTCTATCTATGGATTTGAATTTTTTCCCTAAACGTCCAAATTTTCGCAAAAAAGTTAGCACATAGAATAGCATTTTACCACTAACTGAGAATATAACCGTTCGTATGTTAGCGACCACGTTCGACGCCAAACTTGACCGTTTCTTTTTTCTCTCTTTTGTGTGGTAACTGTGAAAACATTTTGTTCGATTGTGAGTTAATTAATAATTTTAGTCCTCTGTTTTAATCTAACTAATTCCTACGTGACATTCACTCGATGTATAAACATAAACACTTGAACTAAAGGTTGTGCTGAGAGCATATTTTTCCATTGATTATTTGCTTTAAATATATTTTACATTGTCCGGACTTGGGAGCGCAAATTCTTGGCGCATGGGCTGCGGGGGTGTAATTTATGCCGATAGGTTTTACATTATAGAGATTATCACAAAAACGAAAATCGCAAAATTAGATTTTATAATTTTTTAAAGAAGGAGGATTTATCGGATTATACTTCAAGGGCAAGGGAAATTCTGTAGAAATAACCTTCGGCCATTTTTTTTATATTCTGTTTGTCCCGTAAATAATAGCTTATTAATATGAAAATATTGCAAACGATGAATCTACCGTGTGTTTGGAAAAAAACCCAGGCCAGTAACTATGTTAGTATTGGTTTAATTTTTTTTACGATATTCAGCTTTTTTTAATGACGTCCTATGTATTTTTTCAGATTCTTTTTTTTTCTGAATTCATTGATATTTATAATTCATTTATATTTTCAAACATTGCTAATAATTTTAAAACTAAGTTTCTATTGAATTATTATTTTCGTCTAAAAAAAATTTACTTTTCTATTTTAAATACTTGTGTACAATAACGAAAGTTACGAAAATTGTCAAACTTTGCTAACAAACATTTTCTTGACACTTGATAAAAATTCAATTAATTTTTACAAAATATGCCATCGGGATACATGTAGCAATGAATTCATAAAAAAAAATGTCTAAATAAAATATACCTCTATATAACTATTTAATTTGACATCCATACAATGCACTCGAAAAAATAAAACAGCTAAACATTTTTTTTGAACAGTAAAGTGTATTTTTTGGTAGAACTTTTTTTCGTTTTTATCATCGTCCGATTCGGGATTTTTAATATCTTTCTATTTTTATCTTTCAAAAAACTGTAGAAATGGCACACTTTTTACATGCTTTTAGAACTTCATAAATATTTATACATTGTGATTAATCCTCGACGGGGGTAATTCACCCGGCTCAATAAGACCCCGTGAGGATTTACAACTTTAATAAATCGAGAGGATTTATAACTTTAATAAATTGCTTGAAATAAACCCAATAATGGTCGCCTCGTGGCGAAATAAAATGTTAATCCATTTTCCCAATCACTAAAATTCAGATTATTTTTTTATTCCTGAAAAAATCAACGGGTTAGTGTCACAATCATTACGTGGTATCATATTTTAAAAATTTTCGTAAGCACGGGTGCCAAAATAGGTGCGAATTCCCCCATGTAGATTGTAGATACACGCAAACTAGCTACATAATCATGACTTGTTGTGCTTAATGTAGCAGATGGCTAAATCTCATATCACTGTTAATTTATCCGTTCGGTGTGAAATTTCAGTGCACCTAAACGGGATTTTATGTCATCGTGACCTATAACATTTCAGACCGCCTGTTTCCTTCGCACGGCATGCAAGCAATATTAGCGCAATGATGAATGTTTTTAATCCGTTTTTGCCCTCTTTGCGATCGTAAATGAAATGCACTTCTCCATTTATAATTACTCGCGGCCGCGCAGCATGAAATCGTATTTTATTTTAGATTCGCGGTCACGGTCAACAAGCCGAATGGAAACTGCAAACATTTCCTTCTGTCGTCCTCTAATGGAAAGAAAACACGCGTCCTCCCATATTTTCATTAGAACATCCCTTTGTTATTTAAATGTGCGCAATAAAGAATGAAAGACGAATCGAAACTTTTCTTTTGTGGCTGCGGAGTTCATTTCTCTGCACGCCAGATTCGTATCAGATTTAATCTGTTCATCAGATTACAACATTTCGCAAATCTGTAATGGCGTTGCCGGCCACAAATGGAAAGGTGCTTTTAAGACGTACATGGTGTACATTTTTAATAAAGGCGGAATGATAAAAGAGAGTCGTAACTCATCCGTGAGGAGAAATATTCTTTTACTTTCGTTTTATGTTGCATGTTGTGTGAAATTTTCATGGGGTTTTTTGTTTCAGTGAAAGAAAACACAAATGGCAGACCGCAACCTTTGCTGCAGGAGCCACATTATGGATCTCGACCTCAACCTTACAGTAAGTATATTAATTAATCCGCTTTTATTCACTTCGGTTCGTCGGTCGTACGCAAAATGGTAGTTTAACGAAGTTATTCGCTCGAAATTGCAACAACAGAACGTAACTATTCACGGCTCCTTGTGCTCCTAATTACCCAGTCTGGTTAATGTACGACAAAATTTACCCCATTACAGCACGAAGTACGCGCAACTTTTTTACTACGACGAAATGTCAACTCATAATGGTTCTTTTGATGGCCTGTCGTTTCCTATTACAACACTCTTCAGATGGCGGCCACCTACATAATAAATCAAAAATAACAGCGAATGTTAACTTCCGCAGTCACAAAGTGGGATCCTGTTATTTGCGAGGAGTGTTTTTGATTAATGGACCCAATACTTTCCTTAATAATTTAATTTAGATTAAACAGGAACTGCGCAAAAAGTCGAACTTCGGCTCGATCGTCCGGCGCTGGTATTATGTAGAAAAGCCTGTCACCAACATCGCCCCAACTTTTAAACTTATAAAAGTTCGTGCAAGTTCTTTTAAATTTAGCAGTTCGATTAAAACCTTCAATTAGGAGCGGAATGTAAAAATATTCGCGATAACACGAGTTCGGTGATTTTTGCTCCGATATTGACTGCGAAATTAGACAAACGGGCCAAATTAATTCAGACCTTTTTGTTGTCTTGAAAAGTTAACATCGCCCTCTTGCCGGGACCCTCGTAAAGATAATTTGGGTGCGGTTGAGGTGGAAGGGCGAATTAAACGTACTAATTTTTCGGATTGTGACAGGTTGTGCAAGTTTAAAGCAGTCCTGAATGTTTAAGTGGATAGAGGGTCATTAGTCTTTTCTGATGTGACAGCTCGATTTATTGGTACGGTATGAAACATTGTTTTGGTTGATTTAAAAAAATATATTTTACGGTGGGGAGAGGTTTGTTCTAATTTAAATTGAGTGGCGGTGGAGGTTTCGAAATAATGGGGTTTCTGTACATTTTTATACTCTTAAATAAATTTATTTGTTCACTTCATTTGTTTTTGACATTTCATCAATAACTGGAATCTTCTTATAAATGGTAGCTGAGGCGATTTTGTGTACCTACTGATATTGACCTTTCTACCAAATGTAAAGCTTCGTAGCAAAGTTTTTTCCAATTTTTATTTTAATGTTTATGAAATGTTCAATATATTTCAGCCACGGTTGGGTAAATACAAGAACAGCCGATGATCGTTTGAAACTATGTCCAGTGTAGCATTCTTCGCCATTACGGTCAACAATCTTTGATTTTTTTCTGATTTTCCAATACTTATCACCAGAGTAGCAGTTACCAACTGTTCCAAAAAATTAATACCATCTGTTTTAATTAATTAATTTTCGTCAGAAATGTTCCTAGTCAGGAAGTTACGAAAGAAATTCATTAGTTTGTTCTCTGGTTAAATATTTGACTGCAACTATTTGATTTTCGACGTGTTTAGCGTTTTCAGTTTTTTGACGTGTTATAACTCTCGCTTAAAACTCGAGGTTCAATTTCACGCTTCGAGCCCAAAACAACAACTTTACGCCCTTCGAACGCCAATAAATACTTTTAATGGTATCCGATAATTTTAAAGTGTTTGATGTTTTCATCAGATTCTGCGACGTTTTAAAAATAAAATAAAAAACACTCCGTAGTCCACTTCTTTTCTATTGTGTGCTACAACTTTGTTTGTACTTTTGATACCTTCGTTAAAACTTCCACAATTAACATTATTTATGGAGTACAGATCTGTGTTAGTTCTACGTTTCAATTTATTTTTTGTTGCTTTAGATAGAAGTTTAATTTAAAAAGTAAGTAATCTTAAAACAGACCAACGTAACTAAGTGACTCTTCATTCTTTCGAAGGATTACTTTCTCAGATGAAATAAGTCTGTTCTAAGTACGGCTACAGTTTTATTAACGTTTCATAATTCCTAGAATATGAAAAAATAGGACCCCGTTTCTGTTTGTCTATCGTCGATTTTTTTCAGACACCTAAACTACGAAACTTGTAAAATTTTGTATATAAAATATTAACAATAACAGACTTCTGTATTCGTTTTATTTTCTTTCTTGTGATATTTTGTAGTCATTTTTTGTGTTTTTATAGTCGCCTTCATGTTGATTTTTTTTGTCGTGGTCTTTTTTGTTTTTTTTGCCCTTTTTTGTGGACTTTTCGTTGATTTTTAATTTTCTTTTTTGTGATCTTGTTGCCATTCTTTGTTTTTTATCACTTTGTAGTCGTCTTTTTTGTTGCATTTTTTGGTAGATTTTTTTGTCACGTTTTTTCACTTTTTATAGTCTATTTTTCCTTAATTTTTTTTTTGACCTCTGTTTTTGTAACCTTCTCTGTAGATTTCTTGTAGTTTCTTTTGTAGCGTTTTTTTTGTGTCTTTTTGTCGTGTTTTATGACGCTCTTCTTTTGGTCACAATTTTGGCAACATTTTTTAACAAATTTCGTAGTGGTTTTTATGTCATTTCTTTGATGGTTATTTTTGTTCTGTTTTTGCTTTTTGTCGCCTTTTTGTGAACGTTTCTGTTAATTTTTTGTTCTTTTTTTGTGACTTTTCTTGTCGCTTCGTGTACCCATTTTGTTTTTTTTTTTGCACTGCTTGGAGTCCTACTGTTGGTCGCATTATTTAGTTGCCTTTTTATCCGTTTTTTTTTTTCTACATATTTTTGTGACCTTTTCTGGATCCCACTGTTTTTTGCATTATTGTCACTTTTTATAGTTGCCTTTTTGTGGATTTTTTATCAGTTTTTTTTTATTCTCTTTTTTGTGACTTTTCTTGTCGCTTGTATTGGCAGTTTTTTTGCCACTTTTTTGTAGTCGTTTTTTTGTTGTGTTTTTGTTCCAGTTTGTATCGCCTTTTTCGTAATTTTTTAATGTTGCCTTTTTTTTTCTTGAATTTTTTTGGGTCCTCTGTTTTTGTAACCTTTTGTGTGAATTTCTTGTCGTCATTTTTGACTTCCTTCTTTTAGTTGCATTTTTCGGCCCTATTTTTATTCAGATTCTACCTGATTTTTTTTTAATAGATTTTTTTTCGTATTTTTATTATTTTTTTTTGTCGCACTTGACAATTTTTTTCCCCTGCATATTTTTGTGACCTTTTTTGGATTCCACTGTTTGTCGCATTATTGTGACCTTTTGTTGTCACTTCATATAGTCGCCTTTTTGTGGATTTTTTGTCAATTTTTTTTATTCTCTTTTTTGTGACTACTTTTCGCTTTGTATAGGCGGTTTTTTGTCACTTTTTCGTCGTCGACTTTTTGTTGTTGTGTTCTTGTTCCTTTTTTGTATCGCCTTTTTTGGTAATTTTTTGTAGTTGCCTTTTTTTTTCTTGAATTTGAATTTTTTGGGTCCTCTGTTTTTGTAACCTTTTGTGTGAATTTTTTGTCCTCGTTTTTGACTTCCTTCTTTTAGTTGCATTTTTCGGCCCAATTTTTATTCAGTCTCTATAGTGCTTTTTTTATTTTTTAATAGATTTTTTTCTATTTTTTTTTTGTCGTATTGACCATTTTTTATTTTATTTTCCTGCATATTTTTGACCCTTTTTGGATCCCATTGTTTGTCGTATTATTGTGACCTTTTATTGTCACTTTATATAGTTGCCTTTTTTGTGGATTTTTTGCGAATTTTTTTTATTCTCTTTTTTGTGACTTTACTTGTCGCTTTGTATAGGCGTTTTTTGTCACTTTTTTGTCATTGTCTTTTTTTGTTGTGTTTTTGTTCCTTTTTGGTCATTTTTTGAAGTTGCCTTTTTTTCTTGAATTCTTTGGGTCTTCTGTTTTTGTAAACTTTTGTATGAATTTCTTGTCGTCGTTTTGGACTTCTTTCTTTTAGTTGCATTTTTCGGCCCAATTTTTATTCAGTAATTTTTTTTAATACATTTTTTTCGTGCATATTTTTGTCACCTTTTTTGGATCCCACTGTTTATCGTATTATTGTAACCTTTTATTGTCACTTTTATAGTTACCTTTTTGAGGATTTTTTATCAATTTTTTTATTCTCTTTTTTGTGACTTTTCTTGTCACTTTGTATAGGTGGTTTTTTGTCCCTTTTTTGGCGTCGTCTTTTTTTTATTGCATTTTGTTCCTTTTTAGATCGCCTTTTTTTGGTCATTTTTTGTAGTTGCCTTTTTTTCTTGAATTTTTTGGGTCCTCTGTTTTTGTAACCTTTTGTGTGAATTTCTTGTCGTCGTTTTTGACTTCCTTCTTTTAGTTGCATTTTCCGGCCCAATTTTTTATTCAGTTTCTAGTGTTTTTTTTTATTTCTTAATAGATTTTTTTCGTATTTTTATTTTTTTCTTTTTTTTGCGACTTTTCTTGTTGCTTGTATAGGCGGTTTTTTGTCACTTTTTTGTCGTCGTCTTTTTTTCTTGTGTTTTTGTTCCTTTTTGTATCGCCTTTTTTGGTCATTTTTTGTAGTTGCCTTTTTTTTCTTGAATTTTTTGGATCCTCTGTTTTTGTAGCCTTTTGTGGGAATTTCTTGTCGTTTTTGACTTCCTTCTTTTAGTTACATTTTTCGGTCCTATTCCTATTTTTCGGCTCAATTTTTATTCAGTGATTTTTTTTTATTTTTTAATTGATTTTTGTCTTTTTTTTTTGTCGTATTTGACCATTTTTTATTATTTTTCCTGCATATTTTTGTGACCTTTTTTGGATCTCACTGTTTGTCGCATTATTATGACCTTTATGGTCACTTTTTATAGTTGCCTTTTTGTGGATTTTTTCTCAATTTTTTTATTCTCTTTTTTGTGACTTTTCTTGTCTTTGTCTAGGCGGTTTTTTCACACTTTTTTGTCGTCGTCTTTTTTGTTGTGTTTTTGTTCCCTTTTGTATCGCCTTTTTTTCATCGTTTTTTGTAGTTGCCTTTTTTTTCTTGAATTTTTTGTGTCCTCTGTTTTTGTAGCATTTTGTCTGGACTTTTTGTCGTTTTTTATGTAATGGTTCTTTGTAACTTTTTTTGTCGATTTTTTTAACGCCCTTGTTTTAGTC